AAAATTGCTATTTGAAATCTTCACCTGAGCATCTGGAATTTCAGTACCTAGATAGCTGGCTTCTGGAACCTTATTTTGCTCTTTAGGCGAGGTCATGGTTCCTTGGAAGTTCTCGATGCTTGCTGACATTCAATGTCATCTGGCTTCCACAGCTTTGTGAAGGCTACTTGGTGTATATAGCTGTTCAAATTGGCATCTCTTTAGGGAGGTGGTCATCGAAGCATCTTATTATTTAACCATCATCTCGGTTCTACCTCATCCGCCCACTTTTAAACTGAGTTTTGTGGTTGTTTTTAGGAGTTGCTATATACTTCATTTTATTTTTTGACAGGCAGAGTGGACAGGGAGAGAGAGAAACAGAGAGAAAGGTCTTCCTTTGCCGTTGGTTCACCCTCCAATTGCTGCTGTGGCTGGGACGCTGCGGCCGACGCACCACGCTGATCCGGAGGCAGGAGCCAGGTGCTTCTCCTGGTCTCCCATGGGGTGCAGGGCCCAAGCACTTGGGCCATCCTCCACTGCACTCCCTGGCCACAGCAGAGAGCTGGCCTGGAAGAGGGGCAACCGGGACAGAATCCGGCACCCCGACTGGGACTAGAACCCGGTGTGCCGGCACCGCAAGGCGGAGGATTAGCCTAGTGAGCCGCGGCACTGGCCACTATATACTTCAGATATTAATCCCTGATCAGATATGATTTGCAAGTATTCTCTATGGGATGCCAAAAGGTGGACAATGTCCTTTATTTTTTAAGATTTATTTATCTGAAAGGCAGAGTTACCAGGGACAGAGATAGAGATCTTCCATCTGCTGGTTCACTTCCCAAACGGCTACAACAGCCTGGGCTGGGCGCGTCTGAAGTCAGGAGCTTCCTCTGGGTCTCCCACGTACTTGAGGCAAGGGCACAAGCACTTGGGCCACCTTCTGCTGCCTTCCCAGGCATATTAGCAGAGAGTTGGATCCGATGTGGAGCAGCTGGGACTTGAACTGGCACCCAAATGGGATGCCAGCACTGCAGGTGATGCTGTACCTGCTCTGCCACAACACTGGGCCCCCAATGTCTTTTTTTTACCTATGTCTTCAACGGTTTTAGCTCTTATGTTCAGGTTTTTGATTCATTTAGGCTAAATGTCTCTTACTGCGTGATCCACTTAATACGCTGATGGATTTGGTCGGCTAGTGTTTTATCAAGAACTTCTGCACTGATGTTCATAAGGAATGTTAGTCTGCAGTTTCTTTTTACTTTTTACATTTAGTCCATCTTTATTGCTTCACTAACAGGAAATACACCTTGTGTTCCGACTGTGAGACCCACAAACTCAGCACATGGTGCAGAGTTCAGTCTTCAGGATGGCCCAGATGTGCATCCTAGAAGTCAAGGGAAGACACTGCTCTGGCCATTTCCAAAAATGAAAAGAATAAACAGAATCCACTAACATCTTTAAAATCATTCCACAATTTTACCATAAATATGGTATTTTAGAATAAATACTACTTTCAAGACTATGTTAATTTGCTTTAAAATAATAAACAAAAAAAAAAATGGAACCAGGAACCATTTGGAAGTAGAGACAAGGCTGGCACTGTGGTGCAGCAGGTTAAAGACCCAACCTGCAGTGCCAGGATTGCATACAGGTGCCAGTTTGAGTCCCAGCTGCTCTACTTCTGATCCAACTCCCTGCTAATGTGCCTGGGAAAGCAGCAGAGGATGGCCCAAGTCCCTGGGCCCCTGCACCCACATGGGAGACCCAGAAGAAGCTCCTGGCTCCTGACTTCAGATCAGCTCAGGTCCCGCCATTGCAGTCATTTGGGGAACGAACCAGCAGATGGAAGGTCGGTTGGTCTCTCTCTCTCTCTACCTCTAACTTTTTCAAATAAGTAAAATAAATCTTAAAAAAAAAAAAAAAAAAAAAAAAAAAAAAAAAAAAAAAGTAGGGGCAAATAGCAAAGATACCTAACACACCACGCTAAGCGGCATTCTCCCAAGACCTAACAGAAGGTCACAGGGAGTATCACTTTTCTCTCCAGCCTACCCAGTGAGCTTGAGTTTGAGGTTGGTAACTTGCACCAGTTCTGTAAACTGAGCTGCCCGTCTCCTCAGAATGGAAGACAGTTTTCAGATGCCAAACGTCGAAAAGAAAGATCATGACTGTATTTTTGTACTCTTTGTGTGAGGACAAAACTGTCCCCTATTTGCCATGAGTAATGTCAAAGCAATTCTTGGGCACTCCAGCCCAGTGTCTGTCACGGATCTTAAACCGTCACTTTTTCTGGGACAGGCTTTTTCCCTCTCTGAATGGGAGCTACTTTCTTTGGTCCAGATTCCTACATGGAAGAAATACTGTTGCTTCAGACACTAATTTTCTTCTCATCCACTAAATCCACTGGGACGCTACTCCACACTTTCTGAAATTCCTCATTGACAAAAACTGACAGCTCTTGTCATGGAAAACAAGTATTTTACACTTACCAGGACAATTTACAAAAAGAACCTGGTCGGGCCAGGTGCTGTGGGCTAATGCCCTGGCATGAGGCACCAGCATCCCATATGGGCACCGGGTTCAAGACTCGGCTGCTCCACTTCCAATCCAGCTTTCTGCTGTGGCCTGGGAAAGCAGTAGAAGATGGCCCGGGTCGTTGGGCCCCTGCACCCACATGGGAGACCAGGAAGAGGCACCTGGCTCCTGGCTCCAGATCGGCACAGTTCCGGCTGTTGCGGCCAATTGGGGAGTGAACCAACAAATGGAGGCCCTCTCTCTCTCTGCCTCTCCTCTCTCTGTGTAACTCTTTCAAATAAATAAATAAATAAATCTTTAATAATAAAAAAAGGTACCTGGTCCCCTAAAGCCCTGATGGCTTTCTGAGAATTGGACAGCCCTTCTATGTCTTCCCCCAAAGAATTTCTCCTAATCCTCCCTGGTCACCTGATCTATGAGCCTCAGGAAAGCCCTCTTATCTTTCAAGCTGTACCTGGGCCTGAAGGCGTATTTCCCATCTATTACTTCACTTTTGGGATTGCTAATGCCTCCGTTTCTGCCTGAGTCCAGTATCTAAAGGCTGGGTCTCATCCCAGTCAAGGGACGTGCATCTCCTCCCTGATGACCTGTCTTTATGTAATTCACCCTCCTAGCAAGAACACCAAACTTACAACCCATAGCTTCTAAACAGATTCCAAGTTACAGCATCCATTGTATGATCAGAATTTTATTTACAGCCTGATGAGCCACCACGTTCTATCCTTGCTTTCTTCGTCTTTAATGATGATGATGATGATGATGATGATGCAGAAGATACTGAATGCTTTCCTACTACACAAGTGGAAACAGCTCATATTTTGAACAGCTCCCATTGTCTCAACAGGCTTGGATCCAAAGTGCGAGGAGAAGGGCAGCCCATGCCACCAACAGGTGCCTCCAACTTGGCTGGCTGCCCAGACCAGCGTGGCCCCCGGGGCAATCAGCACTGGATATGTGTGCAGGCTGGCAGGGGAGCTCACAATGCACACAACTTATCCACAGACACATTCGATTTTAACATAGGCAGAAGACATGAACCAAAAGATAGTTCTCCAACAGAAATGGATGGCCAGCAAGCACATTAAAAAAAATCCAACCACATTAATCATTGAGGAAATGTAATTCAAAACCACAATGAAATACCATTTCATACCCAGCATATTGGCTATGAAAATACTTCAAAAAGTTCATGAAAAATGGACTTAAAACAAAGGTTTATGTTGGTGTAAAAAAGTTTGAAATTCACGCATGGTTTTTTTCATGATACATATTTTCCACAAACTTTCTTTTTTCTTTTTTCTTTTTTTTTTTTTTTTTTGACAGGCAGAGTGGACAGGGAGAGAGAGAGACAGAGAGAAAGGTCTTCCTTTGCCGTTGGTTCACCCTCCAATGGCCGCCGCGGCCAGCGCGCTGCGGCCAGTGCACTGCGCTGATCCGATGGCAGGAGCCAGGTGCTTCTCCTGGTCTCCCATGGGGTGCAGGGCCCAAGCACCTGGGCCATCCTCCACTGCCTTCCCGGGCCACAGCAGAGAGCTGGCCTGGAAGAGGGGCAACCGGGACAGAATCCGGTGCTCCGACTGGGACTAGAACCCAGTGTGCCGGCGCCGCAGGCGGAGGATTAGCCTAGTGAGCCGCGGCGCCGGCCCACAAACTTTCTGAAAATCCCTCATATAATCAGGAAATTGGAAAATTCTTCTCTAAATATGAAAGTGTTAAAATCTGAAGTTTTAGGCCGGCACTGTGGCTCAATAGGCTAATCTTCCGCCTGTGGCGCCAGCACACCAGGTTCTAGTCCTGGTTGGGGTGCCGGATTCTGTCCCGGTTGCTCCTCTTCCAGTCTACTCTCTGCTGTGGCCCGGGAAGGCAGTGGACAATGGCCCAGGTCCTTGGGCCCTGCACCCACATAGGAGACCAGGAGAAGCACCTGGCTCCTGGCTTCGGATCGGTGCAGCGTGCTGGCCGTAGCAGCCACTGGGGGGGTGAACCAAAGGAAAAGGAAGACCTTTCTCTCTCTCTCTCTCTCTCTCTCTCTCTCACTGTCCACTCTGCCTGTCAAAAAAATAAATAAAGTTAAAAAAAAAATCTTAAATTTTAAACGTTACCATCTCCTTGCAAATCACTTCAATTTCAAGTGATACTGAAAAAAAATCAATTTTATTTAGAAATATATTTTCCTTGACTTACAATCATATTAAGATAAACAAATAAGGTAGCTATAAAGGAAACTCATTCCTTCATACTTGTTATTTGTGTTCCATAAGACATTTCTGTTAAGTAGTGAGAGGTTTCTTTTGTTCTTCAAAATACAAAGTTCATTTTCTCTTTTTTATACTGATTACAGAATTATAAAGCAATTAGGTTATAAATAACTAGTATGGGAATAAATATTTATAATATGTATTATAATACATAGATGCAATTTACTTTATGAACTAAAAGCAAAATATACCAACAGCATGTAGAATCAAAGACATAAAATGATAGTTTACCTCTTATTTGCCTATCAACAACTCTCATTTCTTTTCTGATCTTCAATGACCATTCATTGACCTGGGAAAAAAATTTTTAATGAATTATAACATAGCACTCCTGATTCAACCAACTTTAAAGAATTTTCTATTAATTCTACATTTATTCCAGACACAAAATTATAAAGTCATATTCAAAGAAAACTTAAGAGCCAAATTCTTTTTCAAAAAATCTTTTTAGGATGTATTTATTTATATATTTGAAAGAGAGAGACAGAGACAGAGAGGGAGAGCGAGATCTTCCATCTGCTGGTTCACTCCCTAAATGGCTGCAGTGGCCAGGGCTGGGTCAGGCTGAAGCCAGGAGCTTCATCTGGGTCTCCTACGTGGGTATATGGGCCCAGGGGCTCGGACCATCTTTTGCCGCTTTCCCAGGTACACTGGCAGGGAGGTGAATTGGAGGTGGGGCAGATGAGACTTGAACTGGTACCCACGTGGGGTGCTGGCATTGCAGGCAGCAGGCTAGCCCACTGTACCACAATGCCAGCCCCTGCTTTGTTCATTTCTACATCTCTAATGCCTAGACTAGTGCTCATTCCACAGTAACTTGAGTGTATAAGTAGTGAATGCATGTATGAATAAGACCTTCCAGGAGGAAGTTAGATATTCTATAGGATGAGATGGCCTATTAGGATTATGAATTTGAGGCAGCATTTGGAGGTTCTAAAATTTAACAGAGAAAAGCTACTATCTTATAGTATATTTTACTATTTATTGATTATTGAATGATAATATAGTTAAAGATGTCAGCTATATAATATGCTCATATCCATGCATATTTTTGTCGTGGATGAATAGAAGTATACCCAACTGATGCTAAACTATTCTGAGAAAGTAATTTTGTGCATGTTTTAAATAAATTTCAGTGTATTTTAAAAATCTTTTTATTGGTAGTACACAGAAGTTCAAGCTATTTAAAGATTTTAGCTAACAGCATGCAGTAAGAAGCACTTATGTAAGACTTCAGAGGGAGTACGTACCCTGCAGAGAGCCAAAGATTTTTCAAGAGGTGCACGGGCCCAGATAGTTTTAAAGAATCAGAAGACTTGCCGGCGCCGCGGCTCACTAGGCTAATCCTCCGCCTTGCGGTGCCGGCACACCGGGTTCTAGTTCCGGTCGAGGCGCCGGATTCTGTCCCGGTTGCCCCTCTTCCAGGCCAGCTCTCTGCTGTGGCCCGGGAGTGCAGTGGAGGATGGCCCAGGTGCTTGGGCCCTGCACCCCATGGGAGACCAGGAGAAGTACCTGGCTCCTGGCTCCTGCCATCGGATCAGTGTGCGCCGGCCGCAGCGCGCCCGCCGCGGCGGCATTGGAGGGTGAACCAACGGCAAAGGAAGACCTTTCTCTCTCTCTCTCTCACTGTCCACTCTGTCAAAAAATTAAAAATTAAAAAAAAAAGATTCAGAAGACTTTCATCTTTTACACATAATTATTCAAAAACTACTCTGGTCCAGGTCACGAGAATCCATCGTTTCTTTCTCCTAACAACAATCCTCTTCCATTTTACAAAAGATACTCCCCTATGTCATATCCCTTTTTATGCTGGTGTATTTCCCCAACAGGTAAAAACTTCTGAAGTACTAAATATAGAGACAACTGACAACACTGGTGTAGAAGCTGAGAGTGGAGTAAATAACTAAATGATTACCACGTTCTTATAAGCGAACTGTTCTCCAATTTTTCACTTTTCAGAAAAAAAATCAAAGGAAAATCTGGGTTATCAGCAAATAATAAAGGTAAGTTTTGCATGAAATCACCACATGCTCTTTGGCAGATGACTCAGAAGTTCAAAGAACTGAGTGGCACTGCATAAAAAAACTCCTTCTGTTGCCATCTACTTATATATTTCTCTGCACTTGACTCTAATAAAACATAAAATTGAAAAACATGTAGCATTAATCCATGAGTACATGAACTAAATGACAGAGAAGATCCACATCATTAGAAGACATTTTTAATCAATTTCACTTTTGGTATTTAACAATTATGTAAGAAACAATAACTGTAATAACTCCACTCAGAAGAAATATATAAGCACATAAAACTGTAGTCATACAATGTTTAAAATTTTTCATGTTAAATTTATGTACTTTTTGTTTGTTTGGTTTTGGACAGGCAGAGTGGATAGTGAGAGAGAGAGAGACAGAGAGAAAGGTCTTCCTTTTGCCGTTGGTTCACCCTCCAATGGCCGCCACGGCTGGCGCGCTGCAGCCGGCACACCGCGTTGATCCGATGGCAGGAGCCAGGTGCTTCTCCTGGTCTCCCATGGGGTGCAGGGCCCAAGCACTTGGGCCATCCTCCACTGCCTTCCCGGTCCACAGCAGAGAGCTGGCCTGGAAGAGGGGCAACCGGCAAAGAATCCGGCGCCCCGACAGGGACTAGTATTTACATTTTTAATATGTGAAATTTCATATATTAAACGCATATAACACAATTAAACATTTTAAAGTGTACAATTCAGGAATGTACATTTAGTCTAGCAATTAAGACACTCACATCCCACAAGAGAGTGCCTGGGTTCAACTCCCAACTCTAGCTCCTGACTCCAGGCTCCCACCAAGGTAGGCCCCGGGAAGCAGCAGTAATAGCTCAAGTAATTGGGTTCTTGCCATCCACAAAAGAGACCCGAATTGTGTTCCCAGAGTCTGGCTCCAGCCCCTCCCTAGCCAGCTGTTGTGGGCATTTGGGGGAGCAAACCAGCAGATGGGAACTCTCTCTCAGCCTCTCAAGAAAAAAAAAAGTGCATAATTCAGTGGCATTCAGTGCATTTACACTGTTGTGTAATCAAGAACTCTCTCTAGGCTCAAACCTTTTTAAGACCTATTTATTTGAAAGGCAGTTACAGAGAGAGGGAGACAGTATGACCTTTTCTTTCTGGCTTCTTTCATTTCACATATTTTCAAGGCTCATCTATGTTGCAGATACATCAGTACCTCATTCCTTTTGTATGACTGAGTTATTACCCCATTATATGTATATGCCACAGATAGCTGACCCATTCATCTGTTGATAGTTTGGCTATTGTGACCAGTACCAAGAACATTCAGGTCTGAGTACCTGTTTTCAATTCTTCTGAGGATATATTAAGTATAACTGTTGAGTCATATGGTTAATTGTATGTCTAATTGTTTGAGGATCTGACAAACTTTTTCAGTGACTTCACCATTTTACATTTCCACAGCAAAATACAAAACTTTGTTTCTCCACATTTCACTAATACTCATTCTCCAATTTCCTGGTTATATGAAGGGTCTTAAAGTTCCTGGAAAATGTGTCATGAAAAACCATGCATGGATTTCTGAAGCTTTTTACATCAATAGAAACCTAGGCTTTAAATTCCACTTTCTGAAGTACTCTCATAGCCAATCTTCCGTTGGAGAAATGTCTTTTCATTCATGTCTTCTGCCATTTTAAAATTGGGTGTGTCCAGCAGACTCATAAAATAACAAATGCCCTCAACAGCACCCTGGCCTCAGAATCAGCCCTTAAGGCATGTCAGATCTGGCTAAAAAGGCCATGAGAGCATTTCAGGCATGGAAAGCCAAGACACTGTGGCAAAAAAATGACCTAAAGCAAAGATCTCTGTGAATGAGATCCCAGTGGAAAGAAGGGACCATCAAAGAAGAAGATACCTTTCTCAGAAGAGAGGAGAGGACTGCCATTTTTATTATGGCCTTGTCTAAATAATGTTGGAGTTTGTGGACTCAAGAGGCTTCCATAGCCTTGACAACTCATGACAAGAGCCTCGGGTGATCACTGACATCATAAATAAGAGTGTCAATTGTTAAATCAACAGGAGTCACTGTGCACTTGTTCCCCATGAAGGACCTCTGTCCTTAATGTGCTGTACTATGAGAATTAACGGTAAAACTAGTCCTCAAACAGTACTTTATACTTTGTGTGTCTGTGTTGGTGCACATTGTTGAAATCTTTACTTAGCATAGAGTTGATCTTCTGTATATAAAGAAAATTTAAAATGAATCTTAATGAAAAATAGGATGGGAGAGGGAATAGGAGGTGGGATGGTTTGGGGATGGGAGGGTGGGTATGGGGGGAAGAACCACTATAATCCAAAAGCTGTACTTTTGAAAGTTACATTTATTAAATAAAAGATTTTTTTGAAAGATTTATTTATTTGAAAGACAGAGTTACAGAGAGAGGTAGAGACAGAGAGAGAGGTCTTCCATCCGCTGGTTCACTCCCCAGATGGCTACAATGGCCGGAGCTGCACTGATCCAAAGCCAGGAGCTTCTTCCATGTCTCCCACATGGGTGCAAGGGCACAGGGACTTGGGCCATCTTCTTTCCCAGGCCATAGCAGAGAGCTGGATCAGAAGAGGAACAGCCAGGACTAGAACCAGCACCCATATGGGATGCCGGTGCTTCAGGCCAGGGCTTTAACCTGATGTGCCACAGTGTCGGATCCAAATAAAAGCTTTCTATAAAAAAAAAAAAAAAAAAAATGGGTGGGTCTTTTTGTTGACAAGTTGTATGGGTTGCTTTTAAAAATCTTTTATTTATTTTCTTCTTATTTGAAAGGCAGAAGAGAGAAAGATCTTCCACCTGCTGCTTCACTCCCCAAATGTCCACATCAGCTAAGCCTGGGCCAGGCCAAAGCCAGAAGTCTGAAAAACTCAGTCTGGTCTTCCACATAGGTGACAGGAATCCAAGGCCTTGAGCCATCATCTGTTGCCTCCCAAGATACACATTAGCAGGAAGCCGGATAGGAAGCCAAGAAGCCAGGACTGAAACCAGGCACTCCAACACAGGACACCATGAGTGTCCCAAGTGCATAACTGCTGCACCAGATCTCTCCTACTGCATGAGTTCTTCACAGATTCTGACAGCAGGTCCTCAGCTGGTCATCTCCTCACTTCCTCAATATTGTTCTCTTAAGCACAAAAGCTTTTTTAATGAAGTCCTATTTACCTAAAGAACTTGTTTTCCGAACTTGTACTTAACATCTCAACTTAAATGACTTTGGGGAGACTTCCTCGACTCCTGGGATACAGGAAGCCTCCTACAG